TTGGGCTGTTGTTGTTTGATGCGTAAGTTTCGGATGAGAAGACTTTTGTGTTTACCTGTTTTCTTGTAGTGCACCCAACGTGTTCGACAAAATGTCCATACCGAGTCCGTATATATGATGGGTAATTGTTGTTTATATTGTTATTTGGTTTTGTTATTTGCTGATGGGTAATTGTTGTTTCTATTATCAGAAGCCGTGATATGATAAAAAGACCACTGAATTAAGTGTGTCCTATTAAAGACAAGATGTGCAAGGAACCGTTATAGAGACTCTGGTTGGATTACTTTTTTTCACTCCGGTTGATCTGATGATTGTTGTGTAGTCTTTGTGAAACTGTTGATTCTTTTGATGAGATATTGTCATCCCCCAGCAAGAGCCGATAGCTTATTCTCATCCGTTGTTGAATTGCATTAGATCTGGTACAGATTGGAGCATCTGACTTCGTGGGTCAGTCGCGATTTTGCGTAGGACCTTTAAAAATTGCATCTTTGAGGGCATTGCTCCATTGGTGTCTGTTTTGGTATGGAATGGATTTATTGTTGACTGATTATAGGAAATGTAAGCATTTGGATTGCACGTTGTGCTGTAAGCATAATTACTTTAATTTGTCCTCGATTTTCAGATTCAGTTCGTGCTTCTCCTAAGTAGGCAGGGTAAAGTGAGGCTGACAAAGTGGTATTCGCCTTATCCCCAGAAGGAAAGAACTAAGGTCATTTCATTTCTTACAGTCTGTAGATCATGTTCCCTGTGGTTGACTTAAATATGGACAAGTTGAAAACATGACCTAAAAAGAAATACTCGAACTACATTTTTAAAAGTACGTGGAAAATATAATCTAGGGAAGGGTGGTGTTCCAGTAAAATCCTTTGCTTGTTCTAGCTTCTGAGTATGTGGCCTGCAATCTCTCATCACCTCATGTGTTTGCTTTTCCTTTACACATGAAGTGTTGGACTCAAACAAGACTTACAACAGTTGCATCTCGGATATGGATAGTAAAAGTTATTCTCTTGAAGGAGCGCATGAATCTTCTTAATTGGCTGATTTATGGAGAGATGGAAAGAAAGAACACTCACAGTAGCACCAATGATAAGTTTATCAATCTCGCATTTTTGCAAAGTTTAAAAAGTCTATGAAACTGGCAATATATTTTGTCCCATGAAATATTTGTTTTCAGTTATTTTCCCTGTTAGAAGCATTTTAGGTAATACCGTTCAAGTTTCATCGTGTCAAAGGCGTTTTTGAGAAAGCTTGATAAAATTTAAGCATGGAATTGGTTTGTTGTTTTCAGCTTAGGGTGTTATTTAATAGAAACATGACTAGGATTTCGCTTAAAAGGAGGCTAAGCAACCATGCCCAAAGAGATACTTCCGAGGCTGTGCAAAAAAGGATACCATAAGCATGTGGAAATTATATGTTTATGGCCTAAAATACAACATTAAGTAAACTTTTAAGGATCATTAGAGTAAACTTGCTCTCTTGATGCTTGTTGGTGGGAGAATTGTAAATGAGAGTCGCTTCGCTATCTTACTCGAATTTCTCTTCTAGTGCTTCCTTTAAGATTGGTCATTTATGATGATCTAGTTATTTGAGAGTTATCAATAGGGACTCTAGACTCGTCGATAAAAAATAAGTGGGGAAACCACCAAGCTTGTCTCGCTCATTGGATAATTGATGGACAGCACCCTTTAGTGAGTAGTCATAGATATTCCCTTCACTGGATGACCTTTGGCAGTTGCACCATCAATTACTGATGGAACCATGAACCATGCTATATCAATGCCACCTCCATTAGCCTTTTTATTTGCTATTTGGTGAGGATTTCTAGTTGCTAATGTTAGTCTTCATAGGGATAGAATTTGCTAATATGTGTTTAGATGCACATGTAGTTGTGTTAAAGGAATCCCACATCGAAGAATTGGTTTGGTTTAGAGCAATTAATATATCTTACTTGGCCCATAACTCATCGGCTTAAGCTTTTGAGTGAAGGTGGGTCTAACTGGATATGTTAATAAGCTCGGACTTAGGCTCCCTCTTGGTGATCTCTCCGGGCGAAAGATATCGGGCTTCTACTTTGCGCTCCCTAACAATACATAATATGTGCTATTTCTCGTGCATATGCTAATTCAAATCCTCAGTAGACCCTACAAAATGTCACTTGAACTTCTGAACTGTGCTTAGTTCGTAATAAATCCCACTTCATCTGATTATTCGTTGTCTCCATCGTGCTGCTGGGAAAGTATACCCATGTTAAAATACTATTATTCATGTGTGCTCATGCTGTTAGGTTATTCGAGAGATTAGTGGTGAAGTACTTACAAGAGGGCCCAAACTTTGCAACTTTGTCGAGTGGAGAGGATTGAAAGTTGTTTATAGAAGGTATGCTTACAGTTTTTGCAAAGTCTTTTTGCTGTCTGTACCTTCTATAATTCAGTAGTTGGCAATGAGTCGCACAACAGAGTTTGCTTAAGAACTGAAATATGCAATCTGTTATATCGTTTGTTGATGTGGTTAGGTATGCCAGCCTTTACTTCTGTAAGTGCATCGACCAAGAAGACAATGAGCTGGAGGTTCTTGAAATGATCCATCACTATGTGGAAACTTTAGATCGCTACTTTTGAAGTGTAAGCCTTTTTATCTTGAAGAATGAAGAGCAAGATGCATATTTCTTTTATAAGTTGAAATTGGTTTGACAAACTTGCATTTTGTTTCGGTGCCCTCTTTTGTTTCCTTGACAGGTGTGCGAGCTGGACTTGATCTTCAACGTCCACAAGGTACGGACTCTAAATCTACCTTGCTGGGATCCTCCTTTCACATTTTTTTCGTCATGACCACGCAAAAGATGGATGGTTTCTGCTCAAACTGGCCTTTCATGCTCTTGGTGCATGCTTTAACTGCCCCACAGCCAATTTAGCTACCTTTCCTTCTCTCTGATATATGTGATTCTGACATTGAACCTCAAATTACTAGGCTTATTACATTCTGGACGAGCTACTGCTGGCTGGCGAACATCAGGAGTTGAGCAAGAAAACTGTTGCTCGTCTCATCGCTGGACAGGTGCGTTCGTGTCCTTTTACTCGGAGTCGGAGGTTCTGTTCACCCCCGACTAATTCTTAATTGCAGGACGCTTTGGTGGAGACTGCCAAAGAAGAGGCTAATTCCATCAGCAACGTAATTGCTTAGGCCAGCAAATGAGGGCACCACTTCCCTCTCTCTATAGACATCCGAATCTCCGATTGATCTGGCGACCGAGAGAAAGATTGGAAAGAGACCAAGCTGGAGGAAAATTGGTCACCCGGCATCAATTGCAAATTTTTTATTTGTCTCCACGTATTTTGTCACGATTCAGTGAGGTTAAATTTCATTTTCATGTCTTGTGTTGCATGTATTAACTCTTCTTTACATAACTAGTTTACAAAATGATGCGACTCTTATTGCGTATGTATTCAAAATGAAGCAAGAAATGGGCACTTGCAGCTTGCCATAGTGTTGTGAACTAATTTGGTAAACCTGCCTTAGAGTATGTAGCATTACTACTGATTTAACTCGATGATTTAGCTCATTGTCTTTGACAAGCAGTAGCAACATACTGTGTATTAAGGAAGAGCGAGAGATTAATCACGCCCGCAAAAAATTAAGGCCGTGTCATCAGACATTTCGGATCATATGATATGAGCAAAACTTACTGTTCCTTCCGAATGAACCCTGGATACAACAACTCCATTAAAGCTTAACTTCATCTATTTCCCGAGCTGATCTTTAGTTCAAAATCCGTCTGACTCCGAGAACTGCAATTCAAGGTTACACATTTCTGATTCCTGGCATTGAAGTCCTGGAAGACTGCAGTCTAAATTGGGACGAATGTTCTCAAAATCATCAGGATTTACAATTTATGGTCGAGGTTCATTTCGCCGGCAGCTTCCCTAAGTGAAGAAGTAAAGATTATCTTGCTTGTCGAGAAAAAAAAGTGAAAAATCTATCGAAGAAACACAAAACCGGAAAAAGAGAAGTAGTTTCGATGGAAGAATGCTACAAAGACTGCTCTAGATTAGTGACTCCACGCAAAGCTCGGGAATCAAAATCAAAGGGACATCCTTCTTTTCCTCTTGAACCACACAACACTCAACAATTCAATTTTTCTTTCAGGAAAAGGGGAAGTAAATTTCTGGCCCAAAAGAAACAACCCTTTTTTGGCCAACAATCATCCAGATTGTTGAAAAGAGGAAGTTGTCAATTCACACAATGTGTCTTAAATTAGATGAGACCCTGCTGCAAGTACAACACTTCCCTGTCTCGTCTGCAATAGAAATTCAACGACTATCAAAAGATGGCGTCCGCTCGGAAAACCAAAATGAAAAAATCTATTGCCAAGGCAGATAAATCGCTAAAATGACATTGGAGATTAATAACCGAAGAAGTTTCCAAAAAGCAGCATTTCAAGTGCTTCTTCCTAAGGGCGTTCGTGGTTATAAATAGTATTGGTCCAGAACACAGAGAACCAATTTACTACTTTTCACCACCACATAATAACACTTACACGGGCACATGCGGTGAGCACGAAGCAAACAAGTGCATAACAAGTATGCGTGCGTACGCCCCATGTATATGGCTGCCTTGTTCTACTCCTTTCTGGGCACAACCTTCACTGCCGTCAGGAGAACAACCACAAGCACGAATCTGTCCGTGAGGAACGACAGACAGTGTCGTCAACGGCTGTGACTTGGTATGTAGCTTCTCCGGTTCAACAATGCATTTAGCTGTTCATTAAGCTTCTGAAGTAAAGCTTCCGAAGATAAATCTGTTCACGTAGTAACGACCAAATTTCTATCTGGTGTGGCACTGACACCCTTTGAAGCCCTCCCTGAAAATCAATCAGCACCCATCCAAATTAATTCATGCTTTAAATTTCCGTAGAAAGAGCACTTGGTCGATATCTGATCCCTCCCTCCGTCCCTCCTAGTTTCATCAAATATCAAAATATTCTTCTGAATGTACTAACCTTTCTCCATTTTCTTTCTGCTGCGCCACAGAAGCCGAATAGGGGTACCTGAAAACCCTGCTTTTGATCGCAGTTGCTTCTCCATATACTTCCGATATGTCCCGGAGAAAAGTTTGACATCATTTACAAAGAAAACAAATGCGGGTGGCCTGATAGCAGCCTGCCAACACAAAAATTCATCCCATCAAAATTTATTAAAACTGAAACAACCTTGGTTCTAAGATGAGACTCAAATTCTGTTAATGAACTTCAGCATTTATTACTATATACCTCATGATTTGCTAAAGTAGCAGCATGAGTTTGATGACCATTAGCTAAAACATTAGAAGAGGCATGACAAATTGCTAGTTGCTATAGCAATAAACACGCTGACAGCATTAAAATATATATTGAGGTAGTCTAGATGAAAAACACAAGATAATTCAGCTGCGCTACCATAGAACGAACCTGAGTGCAGTAATAAACCCGCCGTCTCTTTCCACCACGAGTCTGTGGAGGTGCTTTAAAAGCCACTGTCTCCTGCACCACTTGATTTAGTATAGCAGTGCTAAGCCTTCTTGACCTCTCCTTTTCCACTGTGCCAGCAGCAACAATGATCCTACAACAGAAATTTGGTTTTTTATCATTCAGTGAGCAGGATTAATTTTTTTCCAGCAAAATTGAGCAGGATAAACTCCAAATTTCACTATATTACTGATTGTTTCTTTTGCCAAATGGGGATGCTTTCTAATTCTGCAATAAACCTTCAGATCGCATATTTACAATAAAGTTGCAAAGAGAAAAAGAACATCTGATTAGATCAAAACAAACATGGGATCGGAACCTACTTTTCAACACTGTTACCAGCTATTGCAGTTGAATAAACAATCGGTGTCCAATCAAGACTGCGAAGCTTCTCCCTAACATCTTGCTCATAGTATGTTGCACTTTGCTGGTTTTTATTGGGTATCGTATCCCACTTATTCACAACGATAAGGAAACCTTTTCCTTCCTTTTCTGTCCTCTCAGGAATCTGGTAATCCTACAATAGTTGACAAAAAAACCACAAAATGGTCATTCTGATGAATTCAACCGACAGTTAAAACAACAACTATAAATTTATGCAGATTAACAAACCTAAATCAATTTAAATAGTGAGACTAATCGGCCAAACAATTCATAATCACGACAGAACTTCTCAAAAACTGCACACTGCATTAGAAACTACAAAGATGTTAAGAACTCAACCTTTCCGATACCTATTGCAAGTTAAGTTTAGCAGATTATTTGGTGAGGACATGCCCGTGTTTGGGGCCTATAATGGACATATTTAAACATGAGGCCAAGGGTTAATTTGCATTTGATTCTGGACACAATATTACACAAGAAAACAATTTATAGTTAGATCGATTGATTCAAAACCATGTGACTCGGCATATAATTTGAGAAAATACATCATTCTGGAGCTGAAAAAATATCATTAAATATTTCAGCAGCTGAAAAAATAATTTGCAAAAATAAATAATTCTAGAGCAAATTAAATACCGTAACACAGATAAACAGAAGCAGCAAAATAGAATCACTAACTCAAAAGAAACTTGTCGATTTCCTTAGAAACGTTTATTAAATTTTAAAGATGATTAATCACTTTGCCCATCTTTTCTAAACTCAAATTTGCAAAAACCAACATAGATAAAGAAAAATATTATCAATCTTTTTCATAGATCTTGAATATGAGGAAAAGTTGGTGACGTGGCAAGTGACGAAGACATTCTTTTCGTGGGTTTTTTTTTTTTTTTGGTAACCCGGGAACCCACTGCACGGCCGACGGCCGGAGGTAAACCCGGGCGACACGTGCTAGCCACCACACACGTGCACCGGTTAAGTCACCTGCGGCGCTGGGATTCGAACACTCAACCTTTTGCGATGTAAGAATCTGCCCTTTCAGGCAGCGCCACCCGGCGGGTGGTTCTTTTAATGGGTTTTGATAAATGGTTTCTAGAAAAATGTTGGAGGAGGATCAAAACGATGTAACAAATTGAGATAACAACAGTCTCAACAATGGAACAGAAGTTCTAGAATCAACAACCCTTGTCGCCTCATAGAATGACAAGTAAGAGGTTACAACAAAACGACTCGATAACCACAAAACAACGTTCTCATGCCCCCCATATTGTTTGTCGCCCTTCCATCTCACACCTTCTATAATAAGCAAAGGGCATATGAACTGCCTTCGGCTATTTAAGCTCACCTTGAAGACCCCAAACTTCACCAATTGAAATTAGCAAGAGGGCACAGAAAATTGTTGTCCAACTCTCTTAGCATCTCCAACACTCTTCTGTCTAAACACTCGAGTGGTTGCCATGAAATATACTGCAATAATCTTGGTCCTTCTGCAATGTTGTCTTGCTTTGAAGGCCAACTCAACGATCCTGCATAAGTATGAGTCGATCTTCAACTTCGGCGACTCCCTAAGCGACACTGGGAACTACCTCCGATCCGCGGAGGGATCTCCAACCGTGCCGAATTATCCTTATGGCAAGACCTTCTTCGGGCATCCGACTGGTCGTTATTCTGATGGACGTCTTATAATTGATTTCATTGGTATGTAGTTCTCCCGACTCTTCTTTGCTTTTGTAGATGCATGCTCGTGTTAGGGAAAAGAACAGGCATTCAAAACAGAAGGCCGCTGTTTTTGTCGTAAATATTGGATCTTTAGCAGTATATATCCACGCTCAAAGAAAGAGTATTTTTCTACGTTTCGTATATGAAAATGCAGCGGAAGCAGTTGGGTTACCCTATCTGAAGCCCTATCTTGAGGTAGTCAACGGCTCGGTCGATGCTCGCGGTGGAGTTAACTTTGCAGTTGCTGGTGCCAAAGCGCTTGATCCGACATTCTTTGAAGCTCGACACATTCGAACGATCCCCATGACAAATTATTCTTTAAGCGTTCAGCTACAGTGGTTCAAGAAACTCAAATCTTCTCTTTGCACAACACAACAAGGTAGATATAAACCCTATTTTTGTATGCTCCCATTGAGGACTGACATATACAGCAATAACTTTTGTGTACGTCCATTTTGTGTCATCGATCTTATTCACTCAAGATATGGTCATCCATTGAGGTGATTTGGTAGATCTCAAGTATATGTAGCCCGTAAATCTTTCATAGGATAATCACCCAGAGTTAGTGTACTTTGTATTTTCAACTCAGAAACTAAAGGTCATTCGTTTGAATTCCATCAACTGTATGCAAGCTGCTCCGGGTCAGGGTCACTTGTTTAGGCCAAAGGCCTTAACTTTATCAGTTTATGAGGTTTGCAGAGCATTTTAAGGGTCTCTAGACAGATGGGTTTCTACCTCCGTGCTCTTGCATTATTAAATGAAAATAAAACCAGTCTCTCATTGAGGTGACTATAGTATAGGAATATTTCCGGTCATTACCATCTTTTATTCAATTACTTGAATCATTTCATCATTTGATTTTTGCTTTCGTTCTTTTCTTTTGCAGATTGCGATACATATTTCAAGAAGTCTTTATTTCTAGTGGGGGAGATTGGTGGAAACGACTACAATCTTGCTTTCGCCCTTGGTGCAACCTTTGAGCAGCTCCGTCCCATTGTCCCAGATGTTGTTGGAGCCATCACCAATGCAATCAGCGTATGGCCCTTTCTTTTCTTGCAAGTGACATGAGCACAATACTACTTGTTCAACAACATCTTACAAAACCGAGTTGCTATCTACGTGGTTAACCTTTTCTTACTACTCCAATAAATTTATTTCCAAGGCATGTGATTATTTTAGATGCTCATCGAAGAAGGCGCGGTGGAGTTGGTAGTGCCAGGAAATTTGCCAATAGGTTGCTCAACGTCATACCTAGCGACCGTTCCGCGTTTTACCAAGGACGACGTTAATATGACAACTAGTTGTCTCAATCGTTTTAATGAATTCGCCAAGTATCACAACGATTATCTCCAGCGAGAGTTGCAGCTTTTGAGACAAAAATATAGCCATGCAAGGATCATCTATGCGGATTATTATGGAGATGCCATGCGTCTCTTTGAATCACCAAAACAGTATGGTGAGTTTCCTTTCATCTTAGTTCATGATAGACGGTGAATAGGCATATACATAAATAGAAGATTTATCCTACTTTTGGTTTAATATGGTTCACCTGATTTCCCTAAGCACCAACCTTTTTGTCCTTTTTTGCAGTAATTCAAACCTTTTTCCATGTAGAGAAGTTCTCTGGGAAAAAAAAAGAATTATATTTTTTGCACACCGTGTTGAATTTCCCTTTGTTTGCTCAACATAAACTAAAAATAATTCGAGATGACGATCAAAGCGCGTTGAAAAGTTTAGTCCTGTATGAAGTCTCCTCGGACGTGTCACAGGTTTAGTGCAAAATAGAGTGGCACGGATATGTCAATACATGGCATCAAATTTAATCGAAAACTTGTGGCTCTTGATGAACTTATAAGGGTGAGTAGTGAGATCAATGTCCTCTTGTTTTCAGGTTTCGGTAATTTGATACAGAAAGCTTGTTGTGGAGCTGGTGGACCATTCAATTTTGACGCCATGAAGATGTGCGGTTCCAAGGGCACAACTATGTGTACAGAACCATCAGCTTACATACTTTGGGACGGAGTTCACTACACCGAGGCGGCGTATCAGCACCTGGCCAAGGGTTTACTCGACGGTCCCTTCACTTCTCCACGTCTCGTTAACTAGAAGTCCGAAGGGGACAGTGCATAAAGCTTCGATTCTAATGTCAAAGATGAACTTATGCTCATGTTATTCTACCTGTTTCTTCTTGTTTCAGACTTCCATCCTGTAACCTTTTCTTGTTGGATTATCATGCATGTAATGAGTCATGAATACAGATTGTTGCTATTGCGAGCCACTCAACTAATTAACTATCTAACTTTTCTCAATTACTGATTTATGATCGGATCCTCAGAAATTTACGTTTTTGAAGGGTTGACATAGTAATACTAACGATTTTGAATAGCACAAATTTGTTCACATTATTTTCTTTTTATTCCTTTCATTTTTTACCATTTTTCTTCTCTCATTCTAAGCCTCTCCTCCTTGAATTCACTGAATATAGACCTCCTCCGCCGTTGTCATCGCTCGTGATCGCCACCAACCTCAATCCGAGCGACCCCATCAGCACAAATTCTCGTTACATTTTCTTTCGTTCCAAATTTTTTTTCCCATATTCTTCATTCCCACTCCACCCCTATCCTCCTCAACTCCACTGTACACAGACCTCTGCCGATGTTGGCCCCCAATGTCACCTCCAGCCTCCATCCATGTCGGGCGATCCACGACCGATTGCCCTGTCGTCGCAACCGTCGTGCGTGATCTGCCTCTCTCTCTCGTGCATGCGTCAAGTCACTGACCACCAAACTAATTGCACGACTAGAGAGAGGATGATCTCGAAGTCATGACAAATCACCGTGCATGTCGGGCGAGGGCCACACCCGGGTTCTGCCGGCCTGGTCCTTAAACTCAAATTGGGCTCAAAATATGAGCCCAGTCCAATTGAGGCCTACTCCTACCAAGCCCTAAACTAAACCTAAGCCTTGATTCCAATTTCATCTAGCCTAGCCCACTAAAAATAAAAACCTAGCCCAAAGTAAAATAGGCCGGCTCAGAACAAAGCGGGCCAGTCAGATTCGCAAGCCCGGTCGACTCGCAAACTCTCCCTCACCCGCGGTCAAATTGCTGCGACGGAGTGGTGAGCAACGCCAACCCTTAGGAGCAGGTTGGGCGCTCGGCCCAAGTCTAACCAGCTGTTGTATATTTAAGTAATTTTGAAATATTAAAAAGTAATGGCTTTGATAATAGTTATGACCGCCATGAAAGCCATCATTTTGTAACAATTTTTCAACAGCTGTATAACGGTTTTCTAACGGCTTAATAATGAATATATAACGGTTTTGTAACGTTTGATTTATTTCTTCATAAATTTTCCATTATTTTATAATAGCTATATAACGGTCATATTCTCTTTCTTTTACCTATAAATAGTTACTTTGAAAGTGATATCAATATATCAAACAAGAATATTCTTTTCTTTTTTGTTAGAGATATTTCTTTTTTTTCTTTACTAGGTTATACACATAACGTTGTTCCTGTTCCTTCTAATATTCAGTGTCGAGTATAGAAGAATGCTTGTTATATCTTGGGAGGATAGCCGCTAGAGGCTATTGTACCGAGTTTCGTACTTCAAGAGGCGTAATTATCCTTAAAAATAATGCTTACACGCATCAGACAATTATATTTTATTTTTTTTGTCTTTTCTAACAAATTTCCAACAATTCTTATTTTTCATGTTATATAATATTTTTCCAACACTAGTGATGCCACGGCGATGGTCTTGGTGGGGTTCTCGCAGGACACTTGACCCGTGACCATCGGGGGGGCTTCCGCGGACATCCACAACTGTCACGCCCCGTTCCCTCGGGAACGCTAACATCCCTCCATGGTCGTTATGTTACAATGTTCCAGAACGCGTCGCCATCCCATTCTTTTTATCTTTCGTTAAACGCATGCGGAAACGTGTACAACTCCCAACACATAATAAGGGGATAGCAAGGAAAACTCATTGCAACCAAAACATACTTTATATACATTCCAGACGTCAAGTAACTACAAAATCCGCCACGTAGATCTTTTCCTTTTATGACTTAAAAGGGATTGAGAGTTATCCTATCTCCTCTATCTACGAGGACGACCTCAAAAGATGTTCCCCCTCAAAACAACCAGTTCCCAAGGAACGCAACGCATACTCATACATGAGCACCTGAAAAATGATTAACAACAAGGAGTGAAATTTAACTCAGCAAGTAAATTCCCTAAACCTCGTTTAGGAGAATATGTTGCCTCTGGATCGCCCTAAACATGCAAGTCACTATCGATGGCAGATCAATAGCAAAGCCCTTGCTTTGCCTTAACTATTTACATGAGGCGGTTATCTCACCCTTTACTACTATCTTAATATGACAATCGCTCCAACGAGCACATAACAGGATCACAATAACGTACATATTCAAGAGGCATATTCCATCATATTTCATTGCATAACCATGCATAACAACAATTTAATAACCCAGACATAATCAATTATCACTCTCAGGCATGTCGCATTCATCAATGCACATCGCACTCATGATAGTCCAAATTATTAAACGATCCCTCGGGCCACGGCACATCCCAAAGGAAGGCGGTCTTCTGGCATGACAGGGTATCGTCCAGCTCCATGGGGCACGACAATGTCTAGAACTCCTGCTACTGAGGTATCAGACAACATTTCAAAAAGAAGCATCGGTCCGGCCTCCACTGCGACTCGGCATTGTCTGGAACCCTCACCACATGCGGCATCAGACGGCATCTGAAATCCATCGAGCATCGTCCACCCGGAAACCACCAGGTATAGACGGAACCTTTTATGTGACCATGCATGCACAGCAACTGCTCAAATCCCAATTGTTATCTTTTTCAATTAGCCAATGCAGACAAGGTCTGTGCTCATACGTCAAAATATTGCACTTTCACACGTAAAAATGCAATAAAATAATCGCACGTGAACACGTACATATAATTAACCGGTCAAACTTTGTACACTCTCATTTTGAAACATCATTGCCCCATTGGACACATAAAACATGGCATCCAAACACAACTCCTCATGAATTACCATTTATATGTCTATAAAACCTTTCTTTAAAAATAGCCATCAAGATTTTTAAATTGGGCAATCATTTTTCATGGCATATACACCTTCATCCAACAGTTTAAGTTTTTAGAACAGTTGGCAGTGGTCCCACAAAAATCTCACATGATATTAGAGCTGGAAGTCCTGAGTTCAATTTTTTCCAGACCCCATTTGCCTCCCCAGTTAAATATGTCCACGCTTAGTACTAAGCCAAAAGACCAGACTAAGCATGAAGGGGAGTGTTAGAATAATTAAATATTAAACTATGTCTTCATATAATAGCTTAAGCCTTCAATACAGTTGACAGTAATCCCACAAAATCTCACAAACAAGGTAGCAAAGAGCTTCGACCAAATCAACATCTGATGGGATATCCAGACTCGCCTCTGGAAGAAGTGCCATCTCTATTATGCTTAGGGGTGATTGGTTCTCGGGTTGGTCTGGTTCTCACCTAGGAACTGCGAATTGGACAAGAGGGACCGAGGTTCCCAATTCCCAGGTGGGCCAATATAACCAGTGGCATGTTCCTTTTTTTTTTTTAGTATTTGCTGTTATATTCTCTCGTTATACCTTCTAAGCATAAACCTCCAATTAGTTTTTACATAAAATGGGAACACCCCTGTGACTCTCTCTCTCTCTCTCTCTCTCTCTCTCTCTCTCTCTCTCTCTCTCTCTCTCTCTCTCTCTCTCTCTCTCTATGTACGTCAATTTGTCTTGACTCATTGTTTTTATAGTTATTGCTGTTGCAGGAACAGCCTGCCAATTGATTTTCTGCATCTAGAGTGCTGAAGCGCGAGGCATGAATGCTATACAAAAATATAAGTGCTTTACAGATATGGTTCAATCGATTCTGTTTCTCGTAAATTTATATCGGCATCACTCCCCCAAGCCGCCCTCATTAATCCAGAAATGGTCTTAAGCAGGAAAGAGAAAGCACACGCTCCACTCTCAGTCTCTGAAGTCCGAGATGCTCTACTAAATCAGCAAACACAGAACATAAATTAGGGCGTGTTGCAGCAGAGGCACCGCCTCGGCTGCAGTCTCCAATGAAAGTTACTCTCATTCTTCCTCCAACTGTGGAATCAAGAAAGAAATGTTCCCCTCTGTCATACCAGGCACTCCGTTTGGTTTTCAACGCTGCTCCCAGCTATAAGCCGAGAGCCAAATGGAAGAAACACCAACGCATGGCAAGATATAGAGTCGAGTGAGAGAGTGAGACTGCAAGAGGGAGGTGACAGTCGAGCGAGAGGGAGGCGAGCAACTGAGATTAGGATTTTAGTCGTGCGTGCGAGAGGAGAGAGTGACTGAGTCTAAGGGTTTGTGTTGTCAAGGATTAGTTTAAGGGCTTGTTAGTTTTTACATATTTGTAAAAAATTGAAAATATATATATTGGTCTGATCCGGTTCAATCCAGGCGGTTCCTTTTGCTCACCCCTAATTATGCTTGGATTAGAAAGGAATATATATAGTCCGAAGCACATATACACAAGATTAGGTTCACATATTCGGATAGCCAAGGGTCTAGTTTTCAATTTCATCTAGCTAAAGTATCGCAGTAACTGCTTGAGTTTGATAGTCCAAACTATGAAATCTTGGTGTAAATAGATTGCATTAGAGTAAATAGTGAGTTGAAGTTGAAGCATTCTTGTTTGATACCTACTGTCATATTTTATTGGGGAAAATTTCTATTTCAGTCTTAAACTTTTGCATGAAATTTTAATGTAATCCTTGCGACTAATTATCACTTGAAGTTGCTAACTTGATGGTAGGGGAAAGTACCAAAAAAGTCATTAATCTATTGTATTGATACCAATTCAGTTTTAAACATTTCAATTTGACCAATTTAGTCCTAAACATGTTGCACTTGCATCAATTAAGTCTATCCGATCAATTTTGACCGAAAATTGTTAACGCGGACGTCGGCCATCCTATGTGGAGTGGTCGGCACTAACGTTGACATTTTAATAATCTTTTGAATTTTTTTTATAATTTTTTGTTTCTTTTATTTACTTTATTATTATTTCTTTCTTTCTTTCTTTGTTTTTCGTTTCATTTTGGCAGGCCCTCACTAGATATGGGGGAGGCCCGCCTTGCCCTGATCTAGCTGGCAAGGGCCTTCGTAGCCTCACTTGCAGCCGGCGAGGCTACAAAGGCCCAAGGGGAGGGCCTTTGCACCCTCCCAGCCAAGATGAAGGAAAAAAGGATTAAAAAATAAAAAAGTATTAAAAATTCAATTTTTATAAAAAAAAATTTAATAAAAATTATCCACATCAGAGCTGGCTGTGTTACGTAAGACGGCCGCGGTTCACGTCAGTGATTTCTTATCAAAATTGATTGGATGGACTCAATTGGCACAAATGCAAAATGTTTAGGATTAAATTAGCTAAATTGAAAGGTTTCAGACTGAATTGATACCAACATAGTTTAAGACTTTTTTAGTACTTTTCTCATGATGGTCTAATCATCGATGGCCGTGCCAATCGTTTCATGTGGCATGGCTGGGTAACCTGACATGGACAACTTTACTTGAAACGACGCATTTTGCTTATTTATCTAAATTTTCTAATCTTTTTCTCTTTTCTTCATTTCTTTCCTTCTAGTTATTTATTCATCTTCTGAATTTGTACGATTCATCTTCTTCTCGATCGAGCCTCATGGCCACTGCAATGAGCTCATCGGCCGCCTTATCACCCCTTGCTCCTCCCTTGTGTTGACAATTGAAGAGGGGTGGGCTCGGTGGTCGTGACAAAGCAGCATCACCCCATTGTGGCTCAAGATCGAGAGACGCCAATGCGGGCTTGCCAGATGCTCCACCTTTGTATGGAAAGGAAATGGGATGAGGGGAAATAGGGGAAAAAAAGAGAGAAAATAAAATAAAAGAAACAAAAAGAAAATATAAAAAAAAATTCGTGCAATCCGTTGGGTATGTCACGTAGGACGGCCGGCAATAATTAGACCATCACATAGTATTTTCAAACAAAAATTGGCTAGAAGGATTATATTATTTCTATGGAAAGATTTAGGACGACATTGAAACAATTGAAAAGTTTATAACTACGTTAGAATCCGTACAATAGGTTTAAAACTGAAATAACAATTATCTGAATTCTGTTGATCATAACCCAATTAAAGTATATACATAGTGCTATAAATTATCTGAATTTCCATCCCAAAATTTCATTACTTTGCGAAAGGTTAATATCATGCGAAAGTTAAACTAAACTTACGAAGTGGGTCCGCACGTGAGAAGAGGAGTTGTAATACAATGCTTCCGGCACTTTGAATGCTGGGTGGCGGGTGATGAGAGCGACTAGCAGTTAAGCAGAGCTCTCAATTGCCCAAATATCTAAACTAGTCTCATAAATGAATGAATTGACATATACTTATACTGAAGATACTACAGTGGTCGGCTGACCGGATCTTGTTGTGTATAATATAAGTCCAGAGAAATCAATTGTTGACATGTTGCCACTTATAATGAGGTCACGCAGCCAACTATGGCATGCCGCATTTGTGAGGGTACATGGGTCTATGACAGCTTGTCACGTGCCATGAGGACATAAGCCTATAGCGGGATGCCATATGGCATAATAAGGATGTAGACCAATGCCGAATCCACCAAAAAGGATTTTGGAGTAAGTTAAGCCATTCCTAAGAGTCCACCCTAAACCCTCCGGATCAAAACTCTGGAAAACATCGTAGCCGGACACTGTCAAGCTAGGTTCCTACCGTACTTAATATAAAATGACTAAGTTACGGATACTGATTGATACATGATCATGTTTTCGCTCAGATCATAACCTTGTTAAATGTTATTCAAAAGGGTATAATTCTCCTTAATCATCATGTCTTGCCTAATCTTCTGTCAGTCTGCAATCCTGTCTTACTTTTCCCAAGGATTAAGGGTGAAGGTCCTTCTTTTGTGCGTAAAATTATGCATTATTGTTCAGATTCGGCGATGAAGAAGGAAGCTTCTGTAGCGCATTTTGTCGTAATGTCTGTACATAGTGTTGCGGCATCTGGAAATTGAAAATTTTCTTGGAGCTGTTAGCTTATGATCCAAATGCCGAATTAGCTTCAGTGTTAGTTCGCGCGGAATCAAAATCGAATGCTGTGAAATATAAAAAACTCCCCTGTCATATTGAAGGAACAGAGGAGAGATGGCGATTTCTCTGGAAGTCACAGGAGGGTATTCCAGTAGCTTTATTCTGCAATTCACTCTTGTTAAAAATTTACATCATACAGAAAGCTCTCGTACATCAGCATTCATCTTCTTCACAAGGGATCCTCTCTCTCTCTCAAATCAATGTAGGAGAGATTATTGAGGATTAGGAGGACGGCTGTTCGCAGCAGAAACGCGCGAGCCCCACTCTAGCAGCTCTTTGCTCGTGTCGTCCTTGTGCACGATCACCTCAATGAAGCACAAGCAATCCTTATGCGGCCCACTCGCTGTCGCGATCGCGTCTATCAGCTCTTCCTCCGTGCGAACCTGTTTTCGCAACACGAGTCAATAAAAAGTTTGGCTCTTTGAAGCATTTGCAGACCCAACATTCCATCACAATGCCTTTCATAGCCAAAATAAGCATAGGAAGAAAAATGGAACGAGTTCCATCGTCGTTAGTTAGAATTAGAATGAAAACATCGTGGGCTGAAGCTAACCTTTACTGTCCAGCACTTGCCTTCGCCATTGTGAATGGCGTCCACGAGACCAGTGTAGTTCCAGTTCTTTATCACGTTGTAAGGGCCGTCATGAATCTCCACTTCGATCGTGTAACCCCCATTGTTGATCAGGAAGATTATGGTCTTCTGTCCGCATCGAATCATGGTTGATATATCCTGAGCTGTGACCTGAGTAAAGGGGAAGATAAATCACTCGAAAAGGTCCCTTCAAAGAATAACATGCCTGATGGAAACTAGAAAAAAGATCGTGTAATCTTCCAAATGGTTTGTGAAATTAACATGATCACTTTGTTTAACGAGAAAATATTCCCCGATGCATAAAGAACTGGGAAAGTGACACAAACAGTCCCTGAACTTTGACTCAATGTGCAATTTGATCCTTAAACTTTTAATTTGTTCAATGTAGTCCCTGAACTTTAACCCAATATTCAATGTGGTCCCTGAACTTTTAATTTGTTCAATGTGGTCCCTGAACTTTTGATATATATTCAATATAGTCCCTGAACTTTATAAAAATGTTCAGTATAGTCCTTGAACTTAAATCAATGGAAGGACTACATTGAACATTTTTATAAAGTTCAGGGACTATATTGAACATGTACCAAAAGTTCAGGAACCACATTAAACAAATTGAAAGTTTAGGGCCCACATTGAACATTAGGCTAAAGTTCATGGACTACATTGAACAAATTAAAAGTTCAGGGACTAAATTGCACATTGAGCCAAAGTTTAGGGACTATTTGTGTCATTATCCCTAAAGAAATTTACTTTGTAAGTTGTTACTAGGCAGTTTCTTTGTCAATTGCTCAGGTTGAAGACAGATTCATCTTCACATGAGGAAAGCGCAATCTACACAATCTTAGAAGGCATATTCAGCTAAAAAGCTTCTGCTACAATTACGCTATAAAACCTCCCCAAATTGTCATTCAATTTGTATAGTTATCCAACAGTTCACTATTCTGTTGTTCAAGTATTTCAGGCATGTCCCAATTGATGTTTCTGCAAAAGTTTAAAACTTTTGTAAGGTTCTACATGGAGATTGTAACTGACCTGGAAACTTCCATCACCAATGCAAGCTATCACACGCTTATCGGTGGCAGCTTGAGCATATCCTAGAGTGGCACCCACCGACCAACCTATGGATCCATATTGCATCTGGAATTCATACCTACATGAAGTTTATATGAAAATTTAAGTTAGACGAACCTGGACACAACCATCCACAAACAAAATGAGGAAATTTATTAGATTGAAAAAGAAAATGTTGAAATTCCAGCTTGTAGTACCCGCAATTCTCAGGTAACCGGAGTTTCTGACAGTTAAACCAAGAGTCTCCAGTTTCAGCGATAACTGCAGTGTCGCCAGCGAGCATATCCTGTTTGACGAGTCAGAAAATGAATCATCAGACTTGACACCTTTTGCATTTACAGAAGTGATTTTTTAGTGCTCAAGCCTAGAACAATAAGCTATGAAGAGACATGAATAATCTATTAACTGAGGGTAGACAGATATAGGCTCAGTGAGTCCTCTCCATTTTCAAGGAAGCAACAATACGAATCCGTTAAGAAGATGCATGGCAAAGGCATGTCTGGAAGTGGTACCAGCACTTCGAACAGTTTACTAAAAGTACTTAAAGCTGCTAAATTTACTGCTAGTGCCAACAGTTGATTATGCTTTTTCACGTGCAAGTAGCTTCTTCTTTAAGAAAATTTCAAGTCTGACCGATATACTTCCATGCACCTTACCTGAATGTGCTTAAACAGAATATTGACTCTAAGAGGCTCGTTTTTCTCGCACTTGAGAGGCATGCCCGGAGGTACGAATATCCTGCGGTAATTCTCCAAAGCAGTGCTGTTTTTCTTCAGCTTCTTGGCCAATGCGCTTAGAAAATCTGCCATGAAAACCCACCCAATGGAAGGGCCATTCCCTATAGTCACACGATTGGGCTGCACTATGATCGCTTTCTCCTTCTTGATCAGCAAGGAATAGCCCACAGAGCTGTAATCGTTGAAGATGGGACCCACGAAAATGTAGGCATCAGCTGATTCTACAATCTCCCCAGCAAAGCTTGTGCTCACAGCACCCCAATATGTTCCGATGAAGTGGGGATGATGCTCCGGAACTAGCCCCTTGCCCGATGGCATAATGGCAATTGGATACCCGGTGGCCTCTGCGAGCTCCATGAATGCCTTTTGGGCCTTGGCCACCCTGAGCTTCGGCCCACCGATGATGACGGGCTTGACAGCTTTGTTAAGAAAATCTGCAGTTGCTTCGACTGCTGCTTCCAGGCCCATTGGATTGCTCATCCTGCATCATCAAGTAGAGACTATATGAAACAAGAACATAAGAAACAGAACAATTATTCTTAGCATGAAACCTGGTTTCTCGTAATTGTGCAAGGAGAAAGATATCCGGAAAAGTAAGTCTAATGCAACTCTAGTAATTGTGCAAGGAGAAAGATATCCGGAAAAGTAAGTGTAACGCAACTCAAGTCATTGAACAGAAAACCAGCTTCTACAGCTCAGGTATAAATGCGCTGAGACACATGAGGTTTGCACAAGCTTACAATCTAAGACAGTTAACCATCACGTGAATTTGGATATTAAATTTTACATGGCCTGACAAGTTCATTTAATGCCAGAGTTATCAACTTGAAGGTCAATTTCTGGCATATTCTATACATTGTAGCGGAACAAGTGAAAACAGATGCATTTGAAATTTGCTTGGTAAACAAACTCCGGTGCTTCCTGAAGACAATCCTTCCAGATTGCACAAACAGAAAGACCAGTGAATACCGAACATGACCAGAATTCCACTTAATTATTTTAGTGAAACTTGGTTCCTTAAGACAATGGTTCCTTAAGACAATATAAAGGAATTTCTCCTCAAGAATCTTTTTCTTTTCTGTTTTACCTCTTTTAGAGCACTAAGAAGTCAGAGTCCTTAAATGAACAGCTAAAGGATTATATGACTTCGTATGACGTTAAATGTTGTTTCCAATCCGCAAGACATTGTCTGTAACTTCCTAAAGCTAGATATATTGTTATTATATTAAAAGAAAAACATAAAACAGAGAGACATGATCTCCAGTGCTTTGCAACCCAATCAGCATCCGATGACATATGAGCTCGTCATGTTTCAATCGGTAATCATCTAAACTTTGAAAGAACCGATAACACATAAAGACAGAAAAAACTTACTTTGGCACAAGAGAGAAAGGAACTGGATCTCTGGCAAAAGTAGGGTGGCGAATCCCAGACAAATTACAGCTTATACTAATATAAGCCGGCTTACTTTCCTTCAAAGCCGTCGAGATTGCGGTATCAATCAGCTCGTGCGCATCATCCAAGTTATTCACCACTGCCTGCCACATTATAGCACAATGTTTTCTCTTCACGGTCAATCAAACATCCAAATATCATAGCACTCAACTCAGACCATTTCTTACTCACATACAGAAACATATAACAGAAACGCTACCAATATTGGCCAGAAAATATGGGTATAGGTTTGTTACCCGAATTGACACAGGACTTAACATGTTTGCAGGAAAGTTTTAACCCTGTTCAACCAATGTTACAATGTTTTGCAGTTGAACCGAACAGAGAATATGATCTGACAACCTAATTTAACACTCAGAACACGAACTAAAAAGCCTACCAAATACTGACTAAGCATAAATTGGAACTTATCACATGATGAGCAAACTTAAGCAATGAAGCATTCACACATTTATCAATCTTAACGATAAGGAAAACACCCATAAATCTTTTAATTACCTGTGTGCAGGTGATTGATTGGAAACATCTGAGCTCTTGGGTAAAATCAGGCAGCCCGATGGTGTGGTGCAAGATCCTGTTCGTCCCATAGTCATTGGAATTAGGCCCTCCCACGATACAGATCACAGGCAAGTTCTCACTGTAAGCCCCTGCGATGGCATTGAGCACGCTGAGACCCCCAACCGTGAACGTCACCACGCACGCGCCCACGCCCCTAGCTCGCGCGTACCCGTCGGCCGCATAGCCGGCGTTCAGCTCGTTGCAGCAGCCGATCAGGTTCAGCTCCGGCTCGGCTATCAGGTGGTCCAGCAGGGTCAAGTTGAAGTCGCCAGGGACCGAGAACACGTCCCTCGCGCCGATCTCCACGAGCCGCCGGGCCAGGTGGCTGCCCAGGGTCCCGCCGCACGGAGCCGAGATGGGCCGTGCCGCCGAGCCGACGTGATTAGCAGCATCCATGAGTACCAAGAATTGTCAGCTGCGCTTCAGCTTCAAGTGCAGAGTAAGTTTTCGACAGTAAAGAAGCAATTGCTCTGATGGGGTCCTAGGTTCTTGCCTTCTCGGTGATCTTATAGGTGAATTTGAGCAAACGGGCACGTGCAGGGATGCAAATCTACAAGAAACAGGGGGCTAAGTTCGTGAACCCGGTAATCCGAAATCGAGAGAAGAGGGAAAGCGAGGCGATTGGCTGGAGGCGATCAAGTTGGCGTTTGATAGTGGGGTTTAGCTGGTCCTTGGTTTTGATTATTGCCATGGGATGTCTCTGCTTTTCGGTCCAAAGGCTAGGGGAATCTTGTGGACTCTAGCGGAATAAAAAACAGCGGATCGCAGACATTTCTCCCGTGTTGAACTGAAGACGAGTCGATGGAGATATTGTAGAATAATCGATAGTTTCGGGAGATCTAAGACCGCCCGCCAAGCCGGAGAAACCGAAGCTGGTAAGTGGTATCCTCGATTACAACGTCTGGGTTGTCGTTCGGCGACTTCTGGTTTCGTGGGCATGTCTCTGTTTTCCTCGGACAAATACCACAAGCATTCTCCAAACTAAACTATAACTCATTGCCACGCATCCACTCAATCTTTTCCTATCTCGTGCAAAACCCCAAACTCGCAAGTTATCTTATTTGTATTTTCCCGTCAAATTTCATAACAGATAAGTACATTAAAAATCCTAAAATTTATTACGAAAATATAGTTGAGTTCTAAAACTTATAAAAATTAGTGCAATCAAGTCATTCGATTAACTCCGTCTAACTTCACAAACGGAAATTATTGACGTGACTTTTTTTTTAATATTTTCTCTCTCCGACGTAGCGATGACTTGACTAAAACATGAAATATAAGACTAAAACGAAGTCATTTTAGTCCAAATTTGATTTTTACTATATATTTTATTTAAATTAAATTAAAAGATAAGCTAAATAAAATATACAAAGAGAGAGGTGAGAAACCAGCCCTCACCGCCTTTGTCCTGCCATCGTCGGGAAGGGGGATGGCCTGTGACCCTCACCAACTGCAGTGAGCACCTGCAGCAATGGTGGGGTAGCCCTCGTCACCTGATCTCTCTCTCTCTCTCTTAATGTAGCTTATTTTTTAATTTAATTTAAGTTAAATTTGCATTAAAAATCATATTTGGACCAAAATGACGTCTTTTTAACCACATCATCGCTACGTAAGATAGAGAAAATAATAATAATAAAAGTCATGTCGGTATGTTTTGCTAGCTAAGTTGAACAGAGTTAACGGAAATACTCGATTATACCAATTTAACATGTTTTATGACTTGATTGCACTTTTTTTTTCGTAAATTTTAAAACTCTATAGTACCTTCGTGATAAGTTTCAGGAATTTCTGTACACTTATCCCAATTCATATATATTAACTTTTTTTTTTTGGAAGAAGACTTAGTTTTCCGTTCTTTACTTCTTTGGTCCTTGTTTCCATAATTCTTAGAAAGTATTATTTATTCAATGATTGAATGTAACAGCTATAACAAACAATAATATTACTAGTCTTGTTGCATTGGAATATCACCCTAGTCATGTAATCTTTGGAAGTCCCTGTGAAATTAAGAGTTGTGTTTGGGCAGAGATTAGGCTATAAACCGTTGGCAAATAATATATAATACAATACAGGACGTATTTATTAGAAATTTGTTTAATGGAAGGAGTATTTAATTCATGGATAAGTTCCAGCTTGAGGAAAGATAATTGAGTAAGCGGAATAAATTTAAGAACTCTGAGGAAATAACAAGACAGAATGTTTGAGAAAAGTTTATAAAATTGGAATATAGCATAGATAGATGAACACCATGTATGCAAGGAAAAACGAACCTTTAATTTTAGGACAGAGTATGCAATTAAAACTATTGAAAAACAATCTTAGTAATGAAATGATGAAAGTTTTCAATTGCTTTCAAAAGGAACGTTGAATGATGATACAAGATAATTCAATTAACTACATATATGATTAGTGTGAACTGCTTTAAAACCGCATAAGGATTGGATTAAGCACTTCTATCATTATGTGTTAAAGCATAATAAGTTCATAGACTCTTTACTAGGAATTGTAGAATCAACAGTGTGTGATGGCTATATACTTCAATTACTATCCAAATTTTGCTATTTCAATAATAGATCCAAATGTCACAAGAACATCAATGGTAAATAAAAAAAACTTCAAGATTCAAAATGATTTTTTTTATGGGGAACAGCCCACTTTCATTCCTTCTATTAATAGCTTGAGTACAAAGCATATAGGCTTTATGATAGGGGTGACTGGTTCCAAGTTAGGTAGGTTTCTGACCTGGAACCTATCCTGTTAGAACCGATTCTTAATTTTTGGAACTTGGACCTTACTTGATTTGCCCTAGATCTGATGCTAGAATCTACACTATTTTCCAGGTCTGATTCCAAGATCTACCCAATAACCTGTTTTTCTTTTGTTCCTTTTTTATATTTCATTTTTTATAGCAAAATAATATGAGAAATAAAACGGTTCAAAGTAAACGATGAATGAGGGTCAGCGAGCAAACGTGAGTCAAGAACGAGTAAGTTATGAGGCTCAAACAAGAGAGGGCAAGCCGCATGCAAGCGAGGGGGAGGTTGATTCATGAGCAAGATAGAGATAGTCGTAAAGTGTCTAAGTGAGATTAGAAAGAAAAAAAAATAGAGAGAGAGAGAGAGAGAGATAAAGCAAAAGATGCAAAGAGAAAAATTAGGGATTTTAGGTTCTATGAAATTGGTTCCAAATTCATTCTGATTTTCGGATGGTTCTTCACTAAGAACAGAGAACCGGACCAATTTCCACCGGTTCCAAACTTTTGGAACTTAAAACTGAACCAGTTCTAGTGGGAATCTAGAACCGGACCGATTTTTAGGGTGGTTCCATTCGGTGGCACAGCTCTACTTCAGGACACAAACATCCCACAAAGCGTGAGGAGGATTACAAAGCCAATTACAAGGAAGGGTCTTGACTCTATGGGCTTTGACAATCCAATCTACTATTTGATTGGACTCTCTAAGGCAGTGGACGACTAGGATACTTGGAATCGGGCCAGTAGAGCTTTGCGTTTGGTAATAAGAGCTAGCACATCCCACGCTAGCTTATCTAAGATTAGACATGAATGAAGGGTCTTAAATCCTAAGATTAATATATATGAAGTATTACAAGGTTATGTCAACCATTTGTTAGATTCAGATAAAGGAGAAACCATTTCTCTATGTGCAAGTACTGCAAAAAGAAACATAGCAGTACCAATCAGATGAAATGAGATTTAACTCTTAGAAAGACAGAATTTTCAATCAGAAAAGGTTCAAAGACCTATAAAAATCAAAAAGTTGAAAAAATTATTGGATACGAAAAGGGAGAAATAGAATCCAAGTTTAATAAGAGTGGCTCAATGAAGTTGAACGTTGCAGAAATGGATGGAGGAAAAATACCTACAAGAAATTCATATGAAATTCCTTCTAGATCAACAAGCTTATCCATTTAAAAACAAATCATGAGATAATTGTTTGTGATAAGCAATACATCCAACTTATAGGATTGACCCTATAATACTAGAAAAAAATTTACGATTATTTTGGGAAATTCTTCAATCAGTCCTAAACATATTGTATGAATGCCCGTTTAGTCCTAAACTTTTCAATTTTGCCAATTGAGTCTTAAAATTTGCGAGAAATTCCAATATAGTCTTTTTGGTCAATTTTCGTAGGAAATCCTTGATGTGACGGTGTGCCATGTAGGACGCCGGCGTTGCCTGGACTACCACGTTAGCGATTTCCAACGAAAATTGACAGGAAGAACTACATTGGAATTTCGCGCAAAATTTTATGATTAAATTGGAAAAATTGTAAAGTTTATATTTGTACAATAAATTTAGGATTGATTTGGCAAGTTTCCCATGATTATTCACTAGTATAAGTAGAACACCTCCGAGGCCAAGCTCACCGACATTTTCAAACTTCCAAATATATGTTTCAGAACTTTTTCTTAAGATAGACCGCAAAAATATAAAAGAAGTCAAAGAAGAATGACATGAAAAGAAAATGGTTTGCACAAACTTACACTCCAAGAGAAAGAAGGGTTTTCCAAGAACAATGGCGTGCATAGATAGAGAAAAAGAAAGTAAACATCAACTTGTTTAAATTGGTTCCTACCTAGGGTAAAACAAAGAAATATAAATAACATTGTACATAATTATACATCTTATACCACAGTAGATGTAAATTCTCAGAGGTCAATTCATCTTCCTCTAGTTGTATTAAAACAATGAGAAAACACTAAAACATCACCATAGATAAAGGTAAAGAAAGATGAATCACTGTATGAAAAATAGAAGGACAGGTATAAAAAAAGGAAGATAAGATAGAAAAATGGGTTAATACCACGAAAAATCCCAAATCGGTACACTTATAATAAATTTACTCAAAACCAATTTTTTGACCATCAAAAACCCCACATTGGTACACTTATGACAAATTTATTCTCAGCTAGTTTTTTGACCACCAAAAACCTTAAAATGATACATTTGTAACAAATTTCACTACAAAAAAACTGGATTTTTGCCACGAATTTTTGCGACGAAAAAATTTTCGTTGCAAATTTGCAACAAATTTTCCAACGAAAAGTAAAATTCGTCGGAAATTAGCGACGAAAAAATTTTCGTCGGAAAATTCGTTGGAAATTTCCAACGAAAATTTTTTCGTGGGAAAATTCGTTGGAAATTTCCAACGAATTTTCCGACGAAAATTGTACACACTAAAATAATTGCCTTGAAAATTGAAATTCGTCAGAAAATTCGTTGGAAATTTCCAACGAATTTTCCCACGAATTTCAAAAATGCCGAACAATACCGGATTTTTTTGAATTCGTTAGAAAATTCGTTGGAAATTTCCAATGAAAAATTTTTCGTTGGAAATTTCCAACGAATTTTCCAACGAAAATTGTACACACTAAAATAATTGCCTTGAAAATTGAAATTTGTCGGAAAATTCGTTGGAAATTTCCAACGAATTTTCCCATGAATTTCAAAAATGCCAAACAATACCAGTTTTTTTTGAATTCGTTGGAAAATTCGTTGGAAATTTCCAATTTTTCGTTGGAAATTTCCAACGAAAATTGTACACACTAAAATAATTGCCTTGAAAATTGAAATTCGTCGGAAAATTCGTTGGAAATTTCCAACGAATTTTCCCACGAATTTAAAAAATGCCGAACAATACCGGGTTTTTTGAATCGTTGGAAAATTCGTTGGAAATTTCCAACGAGTTTTCCAACGAAAATTGTACACACTAAAATAATTGCCTTGAAAATTGAAATTCGTCGGAAAATTCGTTGGAAATTTCCAATGAATTTTCCCACAAATTTCAAAAATGCCGAACAATACCGGGTTTTTTTTAATTCGTTGGAAAATTCATTGGAAATTTCCAACGAAAATTTTTTGTGGGAAAATTCTTTGGAAATTTCCAACGAAAAATTTTTCATTGGAAAATTGTACACACTAAAATAATTGCCTTGAAAAT